CCATTGAATGTGAGCATTTGCCCACTCAAGTCGGTTACGACGATGAACTGCAGTCAGGTCGAGACCCCGATGAGGACGATGAGCATGCAGATGAGCTTCCCTGAGACGGTTTCTGACAGTTTGTGCAGAAATTCTTTGGTTATGCAAACCGATTGTTGCAGCAGCTGTCCGGGTGGCTGGTCTCAGACGATCTTGGAGGTGAAGATGCTGGATGTGGAGGTCCTGGGCTGGTGTGGTTACACGTGGTCTGCGGTTGTGAGGCCGGTTGGATGTACTGCCAAATTCTCTGAAACGCCTTTGGAGACGGCTTATGGTAGAGAAATGAACATTCAATTCACGGGCAACAGCTCTGGTGGACATTCCTGCAGTCAGCATGCCAGTTGCACGCTCCCTCAAAACTTGCGACATCTGTGGCATTGTGCTGAGTGATAAAACTGCACATTTTAGAGTGGCCTTTTATTGTGGCCAGCCTAAGGCACACCTGTGCAATAATCATGCTGTTTAATCAGCATCTTGATATGCCACACCTGTGAGGTGGATGGATTATCTCGGCAAAGGAGAAGTGCTCACTAACACAGATTTTTTTTTAAAAAACAGACAGATTTGTGAACAATATTTGAGAGAAATAGGCCTTTTGTGTACATTGAAAAAAATCTTAGATCTTTGAGTTCAACTCATTACAAATGGGGGCAAAAACAAAAGTGTTGTGTTTATAATTTTGTTCAGTGTAAGAGCATTTTATAAAACGGATAATATGCCATGATGACCTATGAAATATGTACTATGAAGGTCTAAGGAAAATTGTAACAATAAAAAATTGCATTTTTGCTTTGAAAATACAGTAGAGTACAAACATGTCTCTCTTCTATACAAATTGAGCTCATTATAGATGGTGCTTTTATACACAAAACTCGTTTGTTCACAAAACGCATTATTTACCTATAACAAACTTATCGACATCTTGGATGACCTGATGGTGAGTACATTTTCAGCAAATTTTCATTTTTGGTGAACTATTCATTTAACTGCTTCTGTCAGTCAGTTTGTTTTCATATTTTCATTGGTCATGACAGCAGTTATACATCAAATGATGGAGAAGAGTGTTATAACCGGGCATATATCCAGATGCCGTGTAGTCAAGTGCACTTTCATAATTTTAAAGAGCTGATTCAGGTGTCTGGATCGCATTGCTGGAGTGACACTGTACAGTATGTCAGATCATATAAGTCTACTGTATCCTACATCTGATATTTAGAACTCAATTGCAATATAGAATTGCACCATGCAAACCGCATTCATTAATTTTGTGGATGGAATTAATTAATTTGCTAAATTAATAAATAAAGCAGGCTTTGAAACAAAGCAGACAACGTGCAAATAAACAACACTTCCAGCAGGTGTCTACTGAGTAAATGAAACCTCACAGTATCAGGGCCTCACAATATCTTGCCACGCAAATAATTCTGTCATGCTAAATCTTAAAATGTGATTCTGTAAAGCCACAGAGATAATGAGATGAGGGCTGGAATCTGTGCTTGTGTGTGTGTGTGCGTGTGTGTGGTTATTGTATAAGTCACAGAGGAGTTCTGATAAGACTTTTGGAGCCAGACTGTAGACACTGTGCAGCAGACAAACCGATTTAGGGCGGAGTCACGAGAGAGAGAGAGAGAGAGAGAGAGAGAGAGAGAGAGAGAGAGAGAGAGAGAGAGAGAGAGAGAGAGAGAGAGAGAGAGAGAGAGAGAGAGAGAGAGAGAGAGAGAGAGAGAGAGAGACAGAGACAGAGAGACAGAGACACAGACAGAGACACAGACACAGACACAGACACAGACACAGAGACACAGACTATGTCCCCGGACGTAACAGTGTGTGAGTAAGCCACTTTGTCTCATTAATATATTAATATTTTTGTTCAGTGGTGGAAGATGAGAGACAAGTGATCACACTTTTACTCCCATAATCTTGCAGCTTTTGTAAAAGCATAAATCTGCTTAGCATGATTTTCAATGCAGGCGGTCTCTCTCTGTCTTTGTCTCTTTCTTCATCAGGTCATGGAGGAAGCCGAGGTTTGTTGCCCGCCTGGGGGTCTGGCCAGCGTGCGTAGACAGTTTGAGAATGAGGGCATGTCATCATCTCACACGGTCACCCAGATTCACCACACACACAGATCTGTGCAGGTCAGTGCTGGAAGATACTTGGAAACTGCTTCTCAAATTTGTAACTCGTAATATACACTGTTCAAAAGCTTGGGGTCAGTATGTTTTTTTATTTTCTTTCAAAAATATTAAGCAGCATAAATGCTTTAAACATTTATAATAATAGGGAATATTTGAGCAGCAGATCTTGTTCTTGTTTTTACTTTTTACTTCTTTTTTTCAATCAAATAAATGCATTCTTGATTAGCATAAGAGACTTCTTTCATAAACATAAAAAAAATCTCACATATATATGTTATAATATACAGTACATATATTTTTTAAAAAGTTTTTTTTACTACTTAATATTAAATGAGCCCTTTGGATTTGTAATGGTTGACATATTAGACATATGTTGGCATATTTATACAGTTACAAATCTGGACACGTTTCTTCAATCTTTATTATAAGTATTTTACACGTTTTATTATGACTTTACTATTTTTTTTCTTCAAACAATGGTAATTATTGTAGTGACAAATCTTTTTTCCTACTTACGGTTATTTTAAGTAATATTTCACAATATATTATATTTAAAATAAATATTTCACAATATATTAAAATAGAAAACAGTTATTAAAAATATTACTACAGAAACAATAAAAAAAAATTTACTGACCCCAAACTTTTGAACGGTTGCATAAAATCAAATAAGGAACCTAGTTATTTTGCATTGCAGTCGCATGCATCTGCAACAAAATGTTTTCGATGAATAAGAACATGCAGGCTTTTTTATATTTAAACATTTTGTGCCAAGTTTATTTATTTTATTTAATAAATATATTATTAAATATATTTTTAACTATATTAGAGCAAATCGTCGGGATGGCTTACAAGTATACAGTATATGCATACTGCTATGTATATGTATTGAAAATAATTAAGTGCTAAAAGACTTTGATTTTGAGTCACTTACATACAGAATCTTGAATGAATGAATCTTAATGTCATACTAAAGTGTCACACATCATTACACACATATCAGTCTAGCTTCTACCCAGGCGATTTATGGCACAATAGAATTGTGACTGAACATAAAGAAGAACACACTCATATTTTATTGATCTTTTTGGTGCTTATGAACATTTTAAAGTCCTAAAACTGATCCTAAAGATGTTTCACATCTAGCTTTTGTTTTCTATTCTAATATTCACTTGTAAAATTAAGACTTGGATGCAAAACTAGTTCAAATGCAATGAAGTTTATGGGTGTGAGATGCTAAAATACAGGACAAATGTGTCCCTCATTCATCAAATGCAAATCCATCATATGCAATTATGTTCCTTTAAATACAGGACACTTGTGTATTATTTAGTATGCTTGGCAACCCTAATCGCCCTCAGTTTTAGTTATGGTACAGGTATTAGACGCTATAAGCATGCATGCAACTTCCACATGAGCAAAAAGACTTCTGGTGTAGAAAAGGGAGTGTGTGCATGGACTTTCAGAATAACATTAATCCTCTTACAGATAACCTTACACCAAAACCCGAAATCGGACACAATAACAAGTCAAATCTGCATCTGCATAGATTCTCCCAAGCTTCTGAAGTCCATTAGCATTGCCACACATGCTAACATTATGCATGCAGCGCCTTCCCCTGAAAAAATCTGATACTGCTTGCAGTGAGAGAAGCAGAATGGAGATAAATTTTGGTCACAGTCTGTGCAATCCAGCTCTGCCGATCCAAATTAAATCCAGTCCACCCATCCATACCAGTGGGTCTGAGCGTGCTCTGTTCGCCCTGCAGGGACGAGGTGGCTTCAGCTCGCTGATAGAGGGGAAAAAAATCAGACTGAATACAGAATGACAGCAGAAAGTGGGAGATGTGCTCTCATCTCGTCTGCCAACACATCAGCGCTCAAGTGCTCTAAAGCTGCGGCTCTCAAACTGCGCTACCTGACGTGAATCAATTAATGTACAATATTATGAAGCATAGATATTTAAATTCAGATTTTTCTTATTTCTAATTTCTGATTGATGTACAAATGAAAATGCGCTTCATCCAGTTTTAAATGCGAAATTTGGCATGCTATTCAGTACACTTCAAAATTTAGTAATTGGCTTCCTTTCAATTTAATTGAGTTAAGTTGGCAACAAGCCACAGCATGTTGATTTGTCATTTGAATTGGCATGAAAGGCAGAGGAATTCAAGAAAGACATTCAAAAAAATTGGAGGTGAGAATATTAATTAATTACTGACCACAAACATTTATTTAAATGTTTTTTCTTTCTTTAAAAAAAAAAAAAAGACAGTGATGTATTTATTTATTACAATTTTTGCTTGAAAATACAATAGAGTACAACTACGCCTTTCTATGCAAATTAGCATCATTATAGATTGTGTTTTCTTTCTCAAAATTTGTTCAATTACAAAAAGCATGTTCTACCTTTCAATTCAGTAGTGTTCAGCTCAGCTAACAGTGAATGTTCTCATAATTTTGGGTAACGTTCTGTCAAGGTTCTCTCAAAAGCTACAAACAAACATTATTCCAGTAACGCTATTAGAATGTTTGTTCAAGTGATATTGGAAGGAGATAATGATGTGGAAAGTGCTTATTAGCATGCATATTACTTATTAGTACTTATAAAGCACATATTAATGCATTATTGTGCATGACCATATTTAAGATCCCTTAATCCACACCATATCTAAACTTAACAACTACCTTACTAACTATTAATAAGCAGTAATTAGGAGTTTACTGAGGCAAAAGTCATAGTTAATAGTGAGAATTAGACCCCAAACTAAAGTGTGGTATATTTAGTATATATTTTATATTGTGGTATATTTTGGTATATTTAGTATAAATATACTGTAAATATAATATAACATTGTGAGAACCACTACTTTAGATGTTTAGACCAGACAATCTGTTCCTCTGTTATACTTTTTTTTTTTTGTAGCTTTATGAAATCAAGATGCAAACATATACAAAGTATAGTTTACTGAACATTAGAAGAAATTACCACATAAAATAGCTCAAGTTTGGCAGGAATCCATAGCTCACAAAGAGAAGCATGTTGTAAATGATAAGCACTGAGTAGACAAATGAGAGCATAAGCTGACATTATGTATAATGCAGCGGTTATTTGAGAGAAGGATCAAAGTGTTCTGCTGCAGAAGGTCATCTCATTATCTGTGCTTTCTGGTGCTCGTGGTGACACTAATTTATTAAACTTGTTTGTGTGTGCATGTTGGGGAGGAGGCGTGTGTATATTTAAACTATAACTTGTGTCACATTCTGTGTGTGTTTGGTATGTAGGATCTATTTTTGAGGTCTGGTTTGGATAATGAGGTCTATGTTTTTCTATGTAGAATTTAGACCAGTGTGCGTTTTTTTCTATAGTTATTTTCTGTTCTGATTATCTAACAAAACCCAAAATGACATAAGCCATATTTAGGACTTTTAAACAAAACATGTTTAAAACACATTTCTTTTCTTGAGAACAATCCCAGTACCTATTCAAGGTCTGTCAATTTATCTTGCAAAATTGATTTTCCCTGCTAAATTAAAGCAGGAATAAATGGAGAACTAGAAATTCCTCTTACAATTAAATGAACAAAGCGTCAATAATCAGTTTATCAATTTAAAAATTATTCAGAAATAAATAAACTTTTGAAATTGCCACAAAAGTTCTGTTTATGCGAGTCTTGTGAAAGGGCCTTCATTTTTTTAACACTGTAATATATCAATGAGATATATATATATATATCAATGTATTAATAAAAAAATAATAAAAATAAACATTTGAAACTGACAAATAAAGATATTTTTTAATTCGTATTAACAATGTAGTTCAATCATGACAACTCTCTGAACATTTTTTGCATGGTGATGGATATGACCATGTTAATGTATTTGGTCTTGGCGGAGCAGATCTGCTACGCTGCTGCTGAATTGCTGCTGCTGTTGGTTATTGCTGTATTTGTAGATTATTGCTGCTGCTGCTGCAAGCAAGTACAGGAACTTGCTACTGCCAATGCATATGGCGATACGGCGCCATGAGTATTTAAGACATACTGCTGCTGCACAAATAGCATATAAAATAACCCATAGCAGATCTATACAGGTGGAGCTGGGGAAGGTGGAGGGTTTCAGAGAACTCTGAAAGCACGCTGCAGGAATCTCAAGTGAATGCTAGCCAGCCATATAAATGCAAGGCAGTAAGCTCATTGGCTGCATATGCAGCATGAACCAATCAGCATGTGCCAAGTCGTTTAACTCCCAGAATATCATCAGTTACGTTAACACCCCGTCAGAATGCGCCATCTAGAGTTTCATGACTGAACTATATATTTAAATGTAATTAAATATTCAGTTTAAATGTTTGTTTATAAATCACTTTAATATATTAATTTAGTTTATTAATTGCTATAAAATATGTATTTTTTTCCTTGAAAGCCTACTCTACCGTTTGCCTATATATCAAAATGAATCGATATCGAATCGAATTGAATCAATTGAATCGAAAGCTTGTGAATCAAAATCGAATCGTGAATTTTTTCTCAATACCCAGCTCTACAAATTGCTTTTCTTCATCCTTTTCCAAGTTAAAAGATATCATTAAACAGTTCGCATCTGAGCGTAGCAAATAAACTTTGTCCTTTTTTCCCCAATTTCAAATGCTTTTTTGCTTTGAAATCAAAGTTTGTAGTGTTGTGATTCATCTCAGAGCCGGTTGGCTTGGTTAATGACTTGGAACTCTTTATTAAAGTGTTTTTTGAAGTCCCTCAGGAGAAAATCAAAAATGCTTCACCAGAAGCCAAGCAGCTGAAGCAGTAGGCGGTCACTGTTGTGCTGTTGCTTTGATGAGTGTTTTTAGGTCTGATTCTCAGTCACCTTTGGTTTTAATGATGCAATCTACATCAATGTATGTCAGCCGTATCTCTTTTAATGATGAGCGTGTGTGTGTTTGTATGCGTATTTGGGCTGTTTTTATGGATTAGTATTGATTTCGTCCCTGTTGATGATATCACACTTGTTTATGTGCAGCTGCATGTGCTTGTGTGTGGGAGTGAGAGTGGAACAGATTATAACATTACAAAATCTGTTCATCCAAGGGCTGAAACCATTAAACCTGCCGTTTAACAGTAATTGACGCCGACTAATCTTAATCATGAAATGGAAAATGAAAATGTACAGATTAATTCCAAGCTTTAATTTGTACTTGAGTAATGCAGATTTCATGCAAATATACATAAATGAATTTATGACGTTGTTTCCCTGAAATTATATTGACAAACCATGTGTTTATTACAGAACGTGTAGAGTCTAGTATGTGGCTTTTAATTCTGAATTTTCAAACATTTTGAGAATCATGAGGTTTTAAGAAAAGAACCTGCAGAATTTGATGCCTGTTGGTTTGCTATCTTGTTTTCTAATGCAATGCAATTCATAAAGTTCAAAAGTTTGGAATCATTAAGAATTTTAATGTTTTTTTTTTTATGTTTCTTCTGCTCACCAAGGCTGCATTTATTTGATCAAAAATACAGTAAATACAGTAATATTGTGAAACATTATTACAATTTAAAATAACAATTTTCTGTTTTAATATCTTTTAAAATGTAGTTTATTTCTGTGATCAAAGCTGAATTTTCAGCATCATTACTCCAGTATTCAGTGTCACGTGATCCTTCAGAAATCATTCTAATATACTGATTTGCTGCTCATATATTATTGGTGCTCAGTTAGTAATAATAGTTCTTATTATTATCAGTGTCTTTGATGAATAGAAAGTTCAAAAGAACAGCATTTATTGGCAATAGAAATCTTTTGTAACATTACAAATGTCTTTAACTGTCACTTTTGATCAATTGAATGTATCCTTTGCTGATTAAAAGTTTTAAATTATTATTTTTTTAAATAATGTATCTCAGTTTCCACAAAAAATATTACGCTGCAAAATGGTTTACAACATTAATTATAATAAGAAATGTATCTTGAGCAGCAAATCAGAATGATTTCTGAAGGATCATGTGACACTGAAGACTGGAGTAATGATGCTGAAAATTCAGCTTTGCATCACAGGAATAAATTACATTTTAAAATATGTTCAAAAAGAAAACAAATATCTGATATTGTGGAAAATATTTCACAATGATACTGTTTTATTGTATTTTTGATAAAAAAAATTCTTAATTATTCCAAATTTTGACCAGTAGTTTATATTTAAGTGTTATGTGATTTTCTAAATACTTTTTGGTTCAATACTACATAGAAAATGAAGAGTCCATCTTTGAGTTGCAGTGAGCTGCAGTTTCATGCATCTGTCAGAAATTGAACCGAATTGTGGCAGTCTGTCCACATGTCAAATTTGCCTACTTACCTCCCTGTCACCTGCTAGTCCAACTGAGTAGAGAGAGTACAGCTGGTGCAATCAGGGGATGGATGTCAGAATAACCAGAGAAAGACAAAAATGAGGAAAAGGGAAAAGAGTGTTTGCTTCTTATCACTTTTTGTGTAAATTTCTGTTCACAATAGAGAAATGCAGTAACACATTACATACACAAATATATTTGTTTGTGACTAAGAAAAGGCTGTGCAGATCAGATATTTTGAGAGTAAGGAGCTTTTGTGAGCACTTTTCTTGGTTTTTGTCTCATCCTCTAACAGCCCTTGTCTCCTGTCACGCAGGAGGTGTCAAATTCATCAGTGATGAGTGTGGCGAGCAGCAGCGGGGGTCGACAAGTCTCACAGCAGGTCTTCCTCCAGGATGAAAGGGTACGGACATTTCCGACAGCCCTGCTACTAATAACTCTCAATTTCACAAGTCCACAAAAAAGTCAGACACTAACAGTAGCGGATCTCGCCAACAGGAGCTACGCTGACAATCATACCGCTCTTAATTTATAGCTCTGAATCTCTATAGTGTCTTATTTCTGTTTATTATCTGCTGTGAAATGTCACTGCAACCAGTCAATTGTCAATAAATGTTATTTGGAAGGTGTAGGTTTTAGCAGCATCACATCCACATGAAAACATTTGCATTTATGCATTTGGCAGGCGTTTATATCCAGAGTGACTTGCATTGCATTCATGCAGTCAAACCCATAACTTTGCCCTCCTTAAAATAATCTCAAGGTAAAGGATGCTAAAAGTGATTAGAAATGAGGACAAGGGGAATACATAAAGTGTTGAAGTGACCCTGCAAAAATAGGTGTGAGAGTATAGTCCAGTAGGATCATTCATGGAATATTGATTGTTCAATCGAGTGAGCAGATCAGCGACTGTTGAGAGAATCAAAATAAAACACTAAAACCCTGAAACATTGCACTTGATAAGATTAAAAGGGATTTTGCCACGAAGGTTCTTGTGATGTCAAGGTCACATTGAAAATTCACAATAATTTTCTGTATTGAAAAATATGAAAATATATAACAAATCAACATTAAAATATCAAAAATGTTATATTGCTAAAATATATTATAAAATTAATACAAAAATATTATATAAAAAAATATTTTACCTCCTTATGTGTGGCTCATCCGATCAGAATTTAGAGTCTGAAATATATATATATATAATTTTTTTTTTTTTTTTACTCAAGTGTAACAATGTATTTTTTGCACTAATGCCAAATTTATCATTAAACAATTAAGGCCCTTTCACATGATGTGCATTAGATTAAATGTAAAAATTCTATAATTTACATAATTTTAAGAATAAACTAAATGAAAATAAATGAAACACCTTGTTTATTAATTGACCTTGTAATATAAAAGTCGATGGATAAAAATGGCAGATGGCAGAACATTTACAAATTAATTAATAAACAAAATGGATCATATATTAAATAGCCATGTGGTAATGCATATTTTTGTATAATCTATTGAATGAAATTTGACAAATGAAGCATTTTATTTGAAAGTTCATGGACACAAACCAAAAGATAAAATTAAACTCCGTGTATGTGAGATATACTCTTAAATTAGGGATACCTTATCGTCCCCATTTCCATGTTGAGAGATTTGAAAATGTATTTACTCAGTATAGTATTATAATCTCAACTGCTAAAGCATGGCACTAACAACAACACCATGTCTCTCCCAAGGAATGAATGCACGTACTGATAAAACAAAATGCTTATGAAAACATCTGCCAAATGCATCAATGTAAATTTGTGCCAGAACTGATCATTTAGATCCTGTGGGTTGCACTCTATTTAATTCTCACATATGCCACTAAATTAAAGTTGTTGTATTTATTTTGCTACATTACAGGCTGCACGTGATCAAATCCCTCATAACCGGGAGGTTATTTCCAGTTATGAGAATCATCTAAATGAAACGGGTAAGTTTACCAGCAGTAATTTATAGATAATAAGTTCTGTGTCACACAACAACTCATTCTTTGGTCTACAGTGCATTTTGCAGAGGCTCACAGGATGTATTTAATTTTAACTTTTGCTTCCAGAGGAGGAAGAGTACTATCCAAGGCTCTCGACTAAAGAACTGGCACAGCATTTTGAAAAGACTATTGAGGAAGCAGCCCCCAGCAAGAAAATTAAGGTAAGTCCTTTTTAGCCTACATATCTATTCTGACACATGAATGTATTATGCTTTAATAGGATTCAGTGCATAAAGAGACTCTGCTTACCATCTTTTTTACATGTTTCCATGAGCCCCTCCACTTTCAGCAGCATAGTTTTATTGAGACTTGAGAGCCTGTGTTCATCTCTGTGTTCTGACATTGTAATTGTAAATTCACTTTACATCTGATATGAGTTATTTTTGTGTCTTTATTGTGCATCTAAATGACAATGCAAGTCTTGCTCTCAACAATTTTTTTTTTATTGGTTTTTGCTTGGGAAATTAGTTTACTTGAGTATCAACACTGCATAAGATATTCAGGCTTGTTTTTATAGATTGTGTCTTTAATACGAGTGTATTTTGTTTTTGACAAACATGAACATACAGATGTATAAACGTATAAACGCATTAAAACAGAAAACATGTCTTACTGTCTAATGCAGTTTTGCTTCTCAAGTAAGTTTTCTTGTTTTAGAGATTTCCACATATTTTACTTGGAAAATGTCAAAAAGACTAACTAAAACTCATTAAAAAGACATTTTTGCAGTGTGCTGTAATTTTCAAGTGAAGTACATGATATTGATGGTTTTAGGGAAGTGTATCTAATATATTCATGAAGATGTTTTTAAGTATAGCAATGCATTGGGTTAGAAAAACCATTTATTTAGTAAATGGATAACTCTTTCAAATGCAAAGGGCACACATAGTGCTGCGGCTGAGCTGTGACGAAATTCAGATAACTTTTTCTTGTAATTGTGCAAAGTGGTGTTCTTTATTTATTTTATTTTTGACACTCATGCAGAACCTTTTCAGACAAAATAGAAAAAAAGAAAAAAAAAAGATTTTTAGCTTCAACCACAAAAAAAATGTTTTACCCTGTCTTTTTAAATGCACAATAAGGACACAAAAATACTGAAAATGCCTTTAAAATAATTTGCCCAGTTTTGGACATTCAGTTAAAAAAAAAAAATGTAAGTACTTTTCTGATCCAGCTGAAGTATACAGTATGTCATTTCAGAGCTCCACTGAATTATGTTCATTATTCTCGCTCTGAAAAAGATTGAATGTGACAAAAGTCGTTCACAGTTGCAAAAGACTAACTAAAACTCATTAAAAAGAAATTTTTGCAGTGTGCTGTAATTTTCAAGTGAAGTACATGATATTGATGGTTTTAGGGAAGTGTATCTAATATATTCATGAAGATGTTTTTAAGTATAGCAATGCATTGGGTTAGAAAAACCATTTATTTAGTAAATAAATCCCCCACTCTTTCAAATGCAAAGGGCACACATAGTGCTGCGGCTGAGCTGTGACGAAATTCAGATAACTTTTTCTTGTAATTGTGCAAAGTGGTGTTCTTTATTTATTTTATTTTTGACACTCATGCAGAACCTTTTCAGACAAAATAGAAAAAAAGAAAAAAAAAAGATTTTTAGCTTCAACCACAAAAAAAATGTTTTACCCTGTCTTTTTAAATGCACAATAAGGACACAAAAATACTGAAAATGCCTTTAAAATAATTTGCCCAGTTTTGGACATTCAGTTAAAAAAAAAAAAAATTAAGTACTTTTCTGATCCAGCTGAAGTATACAGTATGTCATTTCAGAGCTCCACTGAATTATGTTCATTATTCTCGCTCTGAAAAAGATTGAATGTGACAAAAGTCGTTCACAGTTGCCATCAGATGTGAGCGCGTCCCATCAAAGTGTGAAAAGTGAAATATCAAGAACTCTGAACAGTGTTGCCACAGACAAAGAGGAAGAAGGTGAACCGAGTTCTGAGTTTGCTTTTGCTTTTGCTTTTGATGATGATGATGATGATGACGACGATGATGATAATCTGGAATATCTGCCACCGCCCCCACCGGACCTACTGGAGGAACCTTCAGACGTTGCTGAATACTTTCCTGAACCTCCAGTGAAACACACAGTGAACAGACAGCAATACTACAGACAGAGGGAGCTATTAGAACTGAAACGTCTCTGCAAACACATTCACCCTGATTTCAGAAAAGACCTGGAAAGAGATTTTTACGATGACGAGGACATTGAAGAAGTAGGAGACGTTCAAGAGGCAGCATACCAGTTTGAACACACCGGCAGCAATTCAAACGGAAGCCCGGAATGCGAATATTTGGAGTGGGATGAAATTCTAAGAGGCGAAGTGCAGTCCATGCGCTGGATGTTTGAGAACAAACCCTTGGACTGCATTAAGGATGACTCGGATATCGAAGAGGATAGCAAAAAGATCATTCAGCAGGAAATCATTCCTGGAGGTGATGTTAAGAACAGGGCTTTGATGTTTCAGATGCAGCCCATGGATACACTTGGAATGCAACGTGATTCAGCTAAACAGAACTATCTAGTGAATGAAGTGGGGAAAAGAGATGTGCGTGCGGCCGCCTGGTTGTTTGAGACAAAGCCGATGGATACACTAAATAAAATTCAAACTGATGATGAGCAAACCAAAGAAGTCATCTTCACACAAGAAGCCAGCGAAAGGGATGTTAAGTCTCTGAGGTACATGTTTGAAAACCAAGAAATGGATTCTCTGGGTGACACTGAAACCATGGATGAGAAGCAGCTGCTGAGCCTGAAGTCTGTACTGGAGGAGATCAAGTCAGAAGTGAAGAAAATCATATGGATGTTTGAGACGCAATGCTTGTGTGTAATCAGGGAACACTCCGGTGAGATGGTTTTGATTACTTCTGTCCGCCGAGAGGAGACGGAGAAAGGTGATGTCAAAACATCAAGATGGCTCTTCGAAACGCAGCCTTTGAATGACATTGACATGGATCTTTCTCAGGTCAGGCTAATCTCCAGTATTTCCATGGAAGACAACCAGCTAGGTGATGCAAAAAGGGGAAGATGGCTGTTTGAGACAAAGAGGCTTGACTTCATAAATGCCCAGTGGGAGAGACCGCAAAAGCAGCAGAAAGATGAGATTCTTGGGGCGGATGTACACAAACAATGCATGGTGTTTGAGACGCAGCCTATGGACACGCTTAAAGATGACGCCAACTCCAGATCTCTTGTCACAGAGCAGATTATTGGAGGTAACGTTCGCTCTGTGAAACACTTATTTGAAAACGCTCCACCGGATGAACTCAAAGAGCTTCCAGAAGTTGGAAAACTAAATAAAAAAGCAGTGTTTCAAGAAGGAAGAGGTGATGTGAGACACCAAAAATGGGTGTTTGAAAATAATCCTCTGGAGAACATTAAAGATGAGGATGATGAGGTAAACCGACTTAAGAAAACCATAGCATCTGATGAAGAAAGAGGCAATGTAAGAAATCAAAGATGGCTGTTTGAGAACCAACGTTTGGAAGATATTCAAGAGGAAAAGAGAGAGTTTGTGAAAACAATTGATTCAGAACAAATAGATAGAAGTTACAAGGGTGATGTCCGCAGAAATTGTTGGGTGTTTGAGATGCAACCGATGGATACATTAAAGGATGATTCCAATGCCAGACCAGTGAGTGCAGAAGAAATTCTAGGAGGTGACGTTCAGTCTGCCAGACACTTTTTTGAGACTGCTCCAAAAGATGAGATCAAAGAGCTTGCAGAGGTGGGGAAGCTCAAAAGAATGATGACATCTGAGGAGAAAGGAGACGTTCGACACCAGAAGTGGCTGTTTGAGAGCCAGCCGCTGGAGCAGATCAGAGAGGAGAGAAAGGAAATAACAAGAACGGTGAATCTGGAGGAAATAGAAAATGTGGATGTGAGCAATTACAAGCAAATTTTTGAAACCTATGATTTAAGCCAATATGACGAAAGTCAGAAGATTCAAGTTGAGGGTGTCACCACTGGCTCTGTTAGATCAAATAAAGATCTATTTGAGTCCATGCCATTATATGCACTGCAAGACAGCTCCGGGCATTATCACGAGGTCAAAACCGTACGGCGGGAAGAAATCGTCAAAGGAGAAGTCAGAAGCTGTCAGTGGATGTTTGAAACTTGCCCTATTGACCAATTCGATGAGAGCATCACTAAATTCCAAATCATAAAGGGCATAACACAACAAGAGATCGAATCTGGAGATGTCAAGACGGCAAAATGGCTCTTTGAAACCCAGCCTCTCGATGCCATTAAGTATTTTAGCAATATTGAAGATGAGGAGTGTGTTACTAGGGAGACGGCAGAAATAGTCAAAGGTGATGTTAAAGCCTGTAAGTGGCTTTTTGAGACCAAACCTATAGACATGCTTAATGAAAGGGAAGAGCTTAAGAGTACAAAAGATTCTGATGAAGTTCAAAAAGGCGATGTGAAAACATGCACTTGGCTTTTTGAAACTCAAACCCTTGATGCCATACAGGATAACTCAGAGATGGTGTTGCAAACTCGCACTGTGAAACAAGAGGACATTCACGGAAAAGATGTCCGCATGGCACGTTTCCTGTTTGAGACGGAGAACCTGGAGAACATTGCTGGAGGAGAGCGAGAAGCTTTTAAGAGTGTTACTGAGATAGACATACAATCTGGGGACGTGTCTCGGATGAAATGCATATTCGAGACCCAATCTTCTGACGTTATGAGCTCAACCTCTGAGGCTTTCATGAGACAGCTGAGGAGTGCTCAAGCTGAGGATATTCAGAAAGGAAATGTTGGAAACTGCAGATGGCTATTTGAAAACCAACCCATAGATAAAATCTCAGAGACCCCCGGTGAGCTAAAAGGAGCTTGCATGGTACAAGATGTTCAGGGAGGCAATGTGGATAAAGGCAGATTCATTTTTGAGACCTACACGTTAGATGAGATTCAAGATGTGTCCTCTGAGGCCGAAATGAGAAAGCTGCAGAAAGTCATCAGAGAGGATGAGGAAAAAGGAAATGTGAAAACATACGCCATGATGTTTGAGACTCAGCCTCTCTATGCCATCCAAGACAAAGAAGGCCATTATCATGAAGTGACCACACTTACAAAAGAAGAAATACAAAGAGGTGATGTAGTGGGAGCCCGCTGGCAGTTTGAAACAAAGCCTTTGGACTCAATTAGAGAGACGGATGAGGTATATCTTTTAAAAGCCGTTACAGAGGAAGATATTCAAAAAGGTGATGTCAGCACAGCAAGATGGAGGTTTGAAACCCAGCCCCTTGATATGATTGCAGAAGATGCCAAAATATCAATCAAAATGGTCGAGGACATTCAGGGAGGGGATGTAAAGACAAACAAGCAGCATTTTGAATCTGATGCTTTGTCTCAAAAGTTGGTGCGTACTGTCAGCATGAGTGAGATTCATAAAGGGGATGTTAGGACAGCAAAATGGATGTTTGAAACGCACACAATTGATCAGATACATGCTGAAAAGTCAGAAAATGAGATGAAAACTGTTGTTATGGAGGAACAGCTAAAGGGGGATGTCAAACAGTCTGTGTGGCTATTTGAGAAGAATCCTCTTGATCATATCAACGAAAATTATGAAAGTAAAAAAGTAATTTGTGAAGAAATTCCCAAAGCAGATGTTAAAACCACAACGTGGCTTTTTGAAACTACGCCGTTCATTGGATTTAAAGAGAGCAGCTTGGAGAAGAATGAAATCATTGGTAAAAGTGTTAAAGCCACCCTCAACGAGCTGTTCACCAAAAGAATGGTAGACAACAAAGGTATCATCATCGAGGCAGATGAAATTGGAGACGTCCACATGGCTAAGTACAACCTCATGAATAAAGAAGCTCCCCAGATCCAAAGAGAAGAAATCATTAAAGGAGATCTGCAAAACATCATGATGAACCTCCTCAACAAACAGGACAAAACCGAGAGGGGAATCCTGATAAATGCAGAGGAGAGGGGAGACATCAGTGGCACAGTGCAACAGCTGCTCCAAGAGCACAGCAGCACCTCTGTGGAGAAAAAGGAGATAATAAGAGGTGACATTCAGGAAGCCATAAACAACTTGCTGAAAGAGGAGAGCACTGGCAAACGGGGCATTCTCATTCAAGAAGATGAAAAAGGAGATGTTCGAATGACGATCTACTCTTTATTCAATTCTCATGAGGAATCAAGCAGTCTGAAAGAAAATATAGTTGGAGGTAATGTGAAAGGGTGCCTAGAGAGACTTTGCAATCCAGACACAGAGGAGATTGTGAGAATTAAAGTGGATGAAGCAGAGAGGGGAAAGGTGAGCTTTTATTCTACATGCATTGAGTCGGGTGCACTGGATTACCTCAAAAAGTTGCAGGTAGAGCCAGATGAGGCTGACCTGGGTGAAATTGAAAAAGAGGAAATCATTGGTGGTGATATTAAGGGAATGAAACTCAGTCTGACACGTAATCAAGCTCAAATCGGTCGTCTGGTGGACAGGGAAGATATAGTCCCAGGCGATGTTCATAACACAGTTAAGGTTTTCATGGCCGTGCCTCCAGTCTCATTTGAACATTTACAGAGAGAAGAGATTGTGAGAGGAGTCCTGCAAGCAGCGATGAATTCACTAACACAGTTTGTAAACCAGACGGTTGTTTTGGAGAAAGAAGAACTCATTCGAGCTGATTTACCTACAACCCTGAGGTCTCTAGAGGAGGCCCAAAATCAGCCAAGAGAGGTGGAAAAGCCCAAAATCATTCCAGGTAACATCAAAGGAGCGCTGAAATCACTAAAAGACTCTGCTTCAACCAAGGTGGAAATTGTCATAGAAGATTTAGTGCCAGGTGACATCAAAGGAACTTTGAAATCACTGGAGGAGGCCAAACATGCAGTGAGAGAGGTGGAGAAGGAGGTGATTGTAAAGGGTGACATTCACACGGCAATACTGAGTCTACAAGAAGCGTCAAATGAGGGAAAGGTTTACCAGCAGGAGACTGGTGTCCAGGGAGATGTGAAAGGCAAGATTCAGCTCTTACTTGAGCCTCCTCCATCTCCCAGAATGCAACGCAGGGCGAGTACAGAGGGTGACGTGAAGCTTTCCATAAAATCACTCTATGACACCCAAGAGCAAGTGCAATCAGGGAAAGAAGAAGTGATAAAAGGAGACGTTAAGGGCACAATAAAATCCTTAATGGAAACAGCACAGAGAGCTAGCCCAACGATTCCCCAAAGGCAGCCGATAAGAAAGGTCAAAGTTCCTGCCAAGACCCCATCTCCATCAGTGAAAGACATCCCGGCACATAAGCCCATCCCTGCTGTTAAAAACCTGGATATGAGCACTGAATCAAAGAGAAGCGCTCACAAGCAATCAATGCAAAACAGATACGCATCTCAAGAGACCACTACAATCACCAGTCACACCACAGCATGCAGCCAGGAGACAAAGACCACAGTGCTGGAGCACAAAAAAATTGTTCAAACACATGGCGTCAAAACATTGAAAACTGACTTCCGTAACCTCAAAAAAAGGGGCTGTAAGGATTTGATCATACTGGATAAAAGAAAACAGCAGGAAATCTGTATGCCACCTCCACCACCTGACCCTGAGCCCCCTCTGCCTCCACCTCCAACAATGCCTCCGGATTATGATAGCATCTCCTTCCCCACTCCTCTGAGCATTAGGGGTGATCATGATCTTCCACCTCCCCCTCCTCCGCCATGTGATCCATCCAGGACAGAACTCGACCTTTTACCTCCTCCACCAACCCCACCACCTCCTCCTCTTGCTACACCCACAGCTGAGCTCTAATCAGTCATCGCAGGGCTCTTCGGGTCAGCAGCAGACCACCTCCACTTCAACTAAAAAGAAAAGGAAGGGATCCGTGACGACCAGTATACAACAGGTGACGAGGACGGTTCTTAAAAACACAACCAAAGAAGAAATAAAGGCCTCTGTTAAAACAGACGAACCTCAAAGTGTCTCTAAAACTGAATCCGAGAATGTTAAAAAAGATGTGAGCAGCATATCTTTATCTGAAAACAAAACAAAAGAGGAAAGCTCTTCAAAGAAAAATCGAGAAAAAAACTCCCCTGATCGATCCAAACCAAACAAAGAGAGTCAAATTAAGGATGCTGAGCAGAAGCCACAAAAGGTCAACAGTCAAAAGGCAAAGAAAGTTAGTAAGAGCGCTAAACTGGAGAGCAAGGAGAAAGCCACAGTGGAGCAGGAGAATGTTCAGGTGAAAGAAAGCAGAGAAAATAGCCCCACAGAAACAGAGAGTGAAGTAGAGAAAGAGGCCAAAGAGAAACCTGTAGAGGGGCCCCCTGCCACTTCGAAAAAGAAAAGGAGGAGCAAGTATAAGAAAGACAGAGAAGCCGCTCAAAGCAACAACGGCACATCCATCTCGCCCACGGAGGCCACGCCTGCTGAGCCTAAGTGGCCAGTCCTGACATCTGATAAAAAACAAGAAGAAATCATGGTTGTGCAAACACAGCACACCATTCATATGGGACACACTGAGGTGTACAAGGAGGTCATCAAAACTGAATGTACAGTCCAACAGCAGAGTTTCCAGGAGGAGGGCGCGACTGTAAAACTCCAAAAGCAGGCCAGTGGAAGCCAGCAGATTCCTGAGGAATCAAAAGATGAAAGCGGAAATGTTCTAATAAAAATGACAAGCAAATCTGCACAAAAGGAACCTGCTGAGTCCTCAGCAGAGAGCTCCGGCATATCTCTAAGACAAGCCGAAGTGCAGAAGATGCTCTCTCGTATCTCAGAGTTACAGGGGGTTGCAGGAAAAATACACCCTAAGTCTGTGAAGACGCTGCTCAATGAAATGCCTTCCTGGCTTCTGGGGCCAGAAGAGAAGAGTGATTTGGAAGGGGCAGCTGTCGAACACAACGAACAGAAGCTGAAAGAAATTCTCGCTTATGCTAAAAACCTCATTCAAGCAAAGCTAATGCATTTTATTGGCACAATTGAAAAGCATGAATGTGAGGCCACCTCTGAAAAACTAGTCTCTAGTGGAGCCATACAAAGAATTTCAAAGATTTCCATTGGTTCTACAAAGTGTGAAACACAGAAGGTGGTCAAAGAGGAGACGAAGACAACGTGCAAGAGCCGAAAGCAACAAATGAGCAGCGTTACAACTCTTGGCCCCAGAGCTCCATCTCCATTGTTACGGATGCGCTCTCCCTCACCTACATTCATCACCATCGAGTCCACAAGGAGAACCGACTCGCCACAGAGAGCAGCACCCGTGCCTTCCCCAACACCACCGACACCTCCTCCACGCAGATCTGAGACGCCAAGCTCTTACTTAAGCAGGGCCTCCCCTTCACCCTCCTCAAGCCGTGCAGATAGTCTGACGCGACTCAGAAATGTCACAGCTACGCTCTCCCGCGGTGCCTCGCCTGATCCGGTGCCCCACGTCGTGCCGGTCACAGGAAGGAAGTCCGAAATTGTGGAATCTCCCGCCACGTTCCAATGGCAGATCAAAATTGATTCTAAACCTGCTGAAGAGCAGAAGGTTGAAGAGGAGACTCTTGGGTCTTCTGAAACGCAAGTGGTGACCGTTGAAGTGAATAACGCTAACGTAAGTGGAGATGCCATTAATATTCCAGAGCGTTTAGGCCCCAACACGGAGGATGCAGGGCCTGAAAGTGAAGTGAAAGAGAAGGAAAATCTTGCAAAGGTTGACCTGTCTGGACTAGCCAAGACAATTGAGACGTCAGAAGAGAAAGTTGGTATTAGAAAAGACCCAATTGACAATACAGAGAAGCCTGGCAGGGAAACTGACGACCTGGAGCTTGATACGGAGAAGAAAGCAAGACAACAAGAGGATATTGCTGCTTTCAACATGAAGAATATTAAAAATGTTTTTGAAATGAGTGAGCAAAGTTCCCCCATCAAAGAGCTACAAAACAAACAGGAGGAACAGGAGTCAAGAGTGAGTGAAATTGCTTCTGAAGGTTCAAAGCCTGAGCTTCCTCCTGAGAGGAAACAATGCTCCCAGCTGAGCTCCCCTCTGCTTGTGCGCAAAGATGTGAAAGTAGACAAGTCTGTCGATCCAACAGACTTTTCAGAGACAGAAACAGTCACTGAACATTATTCTTCTGTTGATGAGTTCGGCACTAAAATTATCGGATCAAAAAGCACCACAATGGTTTCCACGCACACTCAAAGTTTTGCGACGCAACGGGTGCCGTTTTCCTATGCTGACGCTGTGAAGAAAAAGACGTCAGAGGTAAAGGCGTCACCTGAGGGCTCTGCAGAAGAACTGATGAAGAACTTCCATAAAACGTGGACAGAAAGTGAGAGTGTGTTCAAAAGCTTAGGTGTCACAGGTGAGAGAGCCAAGCCGGCTGCTTGTGCATCAAACCGAGACTGCTGTGCTGGGTAAATATGCCTGCAGTGCATGATGGGAATGAAATTTAACAGCAAGCTACTGCAAAACTTCTGAGGTACATTACCGGGTCAATCTGTGTGTTTCTAACTTATGTCTTTCCCCAGGTGACAAGTCCACATTTAGATGAGTAAACGTGAATGTGAATGTGAACAATTGTTTCACTGAATGTGAATGTGACAGCTATTTACATGTTAATAGCTGAACATTTAACTTGAGTTTAAAGGAGTTTGAAGTTTGTTTTCAATTAAGTTTGAGTTGATCTAAATAGGTGTCCTTTATTTTTTTCTCTAATTAATTAATTAGTTAGTTTGTTTGTTTATTTATTTATTTATTGAATATCATGCATACATTTGTTCATACTATCTGATATATAACTAAAATAGATGTCCTTTTTAAAAAAAAATTGTTTTGTTTATTTATATTTAAATGTATTATTATTATTATTATCTTATTTAATTTATATTTATTTATTGATATAATTGTATTTTTTGGAATACCACACATCTTCCACATATCACTGAAATAAGCACTGGTGTCAGAAGTATTCACATTCATTACTCAGGTAGAATTATAGATACTAGGGTTTAAAAAGACTTCTGTAGAAGTTGAAGTATCAACTCAAGCTTTTTACTTAAGTAAAAGTGCAAAAGTACTGGTTTCAAAACTACTTAAAGTATAAAAGTAATGTAAGGAAAAAAATGCCATTAAGGACAAAAGCTTAGGCCGCGCCACAGGTGCCTATTGTGCACTACCCCACCTCCTCAAAAAAACTTTTTTCTAAAGGCCATAATGACTGTTATATTAAAATGTTAATGTTGAAAAATGTGGGATGCACTAGACTACCTGTTTCAGCCGCATATATGCCCATTGAAAATTAACGCATTTTAGTACAAAGCAAATACATTAAAGAACCATATATGTGTACTACTGAGCATTAAAATGTGTTTCATGGAGCGGAAAATATGATGACTAGTTGCTTATAAGTATTGTAATGGTGCAAAAAGTCAAACTTCAGAGGCATGTCATCAATAACCTTTATTGGAATGTAAATGTACATCCAAGCTTAGCTGCAGGAATCTGTGAGGGCAACGGACAAGAAAACTGGTGTACCCAGGGCAGGCTTAGTAACAATTACCCTTGTATGGTTGTCTATATACAATAAACATTAGTGCTGTCAAAATGAACAATTAATCCAAGTGATTAATCAACAAATAAAAAGTAAAAATAACTCATAATCCTGTTACCTTCCTGGTATGTACTATGCTCAATTCTATAGCTAATGGCAACAATGTCACATTTAACTAGAAGATGCGTTGTCAATCGCAAACGCTAATTTATTCAAACGTCTCTCTACCGAACTACCGACTGTAGCTTAATTTGCAGAGGACGAAGAGAAAGCACCCGTTTGATAAATGAGCCAGTAGTGACGGAATAATAACTTTTAAGAAATAATCTTTTTTGAGTAACGACCCCAACACTGGCTATGTCCTTGCTGGAGTGTGAGATGATTTGTGTCATGTGCAGGTGCGATGGATCGCGTACAAACCAATAGGGTGTCGGAATGGTATATGTTTATACTTCTCGAAGTATTTGTACTTCGTTACTTGACACCTCTGGAAATAAGTGTCCTGAGAAATCACAGTCTGGGGAGCAGCCTACACTGTTTTTTAGCCATTCAGAACTGCTTTCTGCTTAATCTCGCTTGCAGCACCATCACAGATTCAAAAGGACAGTTTATCAGCTTAGAATTTCAAATATCTCAATAACACTGAGTGCTTTCTCCATAATTGCCATTCATCTCCGTCTCATTTGCATTTGAGAGTGCTGCAAGAATCAAATGTACTTTAAAAGCAAAATGTTTTAGCGATTGATTCAGAACACTGAACGAAGGAAAACAAAGCCTGATTTTTGTTTCTCTGTGTGACCTGAGAAACAGCAACTTGTAGCTTTTATGTTTGTTTGTTTCTTTTTAGAGACTGTCTGTGAGTTTGCAGGATTATTTCATTTCCCAAAATAACTCCACAAATTATAACCGAATTGTTATTCAGACTTCTATACACTCAGCTGAGGGGGGAGGGGGGAATAGAAGGCTAGATTAAAAACAAATGGTAACCCAGCATTGGGTGCCTATTGAACAGTATGCATGTTTTACTAAACTAACCTAGCAAGGTGGGTTACCTAAAAACAAAATGAGCAATGGAAGAAATTTTTAGAGTGTAAAGAATCAATATCTAGATTAAACTATTTATTTTGTCATATTCATGTTAAAGACCTCATGTGTCATTCTTTATCTTAAGATTTGAGAAGTATTAATGCTTTGATGTATTATTGTGTCTGAACATGTCTTTCACTAATACTGTTGTTAACAAACTTGCCAATAACCTTACATTGCAGTAGTGGATGTTGTTCGATGTGATTTGCCTGCATTGCCCAGATGGAGGACTGAGTGTTTGGCAAAGTGATGCGTGGGAATAACTGAATTAACTAAAACTTGAATATCTTTTGCCATCTTGCCAGATTCGAGTACCAAAGTCGGAGATGTGTGCGGTGTGCAAGAAGAGGGTTTACCCCATGGAAGGCCTGATAGCCGACAAAAAGAAGTTCCATAAATCCTGTTTTTTCTGTGAGCACTGCAATAACAAATTGAGGTATGTCATCAAATATTGTAATATGATATTTGATAAATATTGCTTATACTTAGGAGTTTTAGTCAAAAATGAAAATTTGCTCAAAATGTACTCATCCTCAGGCCATCCAAGATGTAGATGAATTTGTTTCTTCATCGGAACAGATTTGGAGAAATGTAGCATTGCATCACTTGCTCACCAATGGATCCTCTGCAGTGAATGGGTGCCGTCAGAATGAGAGTCCAAACAGCTGATAAAAACATCACAATAATCCACAAGTAATCCACACCACTCCAGACCATCAGTTAATGTCGTGTGAAGCAAAAAGCTGCATGTTTGTAAGAAGAGATTTTTAACTACAAACCGTTACTTCTGGTTAAAATATGAGCCAATAATCCATACAAATGCTTCCTCCAGTGAAAAAGTCCATCCCCTGTTTTCCTCTCACATCAAAATCTACCAGTATATTTGTTTAGAACTAATAGTACTTGATCTGTGCATTTCTCTCATGATTCAAACGAGATTATCTTTTTACTGGAGAAAACAATATTATGGATTGAGGACTCGTATTTTAGCTGGAAGCAACATTTTGAAGTCAGACGTCTTAATGATGGATTTGTTTCTTACAAACATGCAGTTTTTCACTTCATGTTGTTTTTATCAGCTGTTTGGAATCTCATTCTGACGGCACCCATTCACTGCAGAGGATCCATTGCTGAGCAAGTGAAGACGTTCCCATGAAGAAATAAACTTATTCACATCTTGGATGGCCTGAGATTGAGGCCATCCAAAATTTCAGCATATTTTCATTTTTGGGTGAATTATTCTTTAAAGTAATCAGATTTTCACCTGTTGCACGATGATACAAATTCCATAGATTCCTATAGATGGACCCGAGTCATGTCTACCCTAGCAACAGAACACCCTAGCATTGTTGTGACTAGTTTCTAGTGTGTATTTTTGTGTTTAAAAAGGAGCATAAACAGACAATTTATCATATTTAGCATTAACATAAATATTCTAGTACGTCTAACAATGCAAGTATTCCAACATAATCAGTTCTAAATGATTTTTTTTTGCATAGAGTACCATTATTTGCAACTCTAAGATAAAGTATCCTGCATAAAACCATTCAAATGGAAAGCTTGCAGTGCAGTTCTCATTTACAAACTGTGTGAATGCAGACAGCTCTATATATTTTCTGTGATTAATGAATTATGAAACTTCTTGTCTGACAGCCTTGGAAACTTTGTCTCTCTCCATGGACATTTATACTGCCATCCACATTATAAACAACTCTTCAAGTCTAAAGGGAATTTCGAGGATGGATTTGAACAAGGGTTGCAAAGGGAATTACTGGGCGTTCGGGATGCAGGGAATACAGACCATGACGCATCGGACTGGAGATATTCACTTTCACAAAGTAGCATGTGCTCGCTGTCAGATGTGTTTGAAAAAGAAGCAAATAAACCCGATCAGAGCCCTAACAAAATGTCTGTAGCGTGGCCTCCGCAAACAGCCTCTCCAAAAAAGACATTCTCTTTGGATCAGGATGTGAAATTGGTGAAACCCGTTTGGCCCCCAAAGAGCGAAACTTCAAAGTCTCCTAAGTACCAGCGTCGGAAAGCAACTCAGCGGAGCACACTTTAGGAGGAGTGCAACACGGCCTCGGGGCCGGCAGTGAAAGAGGAACGGGGAGAGTGAGGGAGACGTCTCATCGATCAGCGACACACAAAGCATGTCACAACAGCATGAAGTGTTGTGGGAGCTTTAGAAACACGAGGACACATCATGATGATGAAGAGCTTCGAATGCAGGGTGAAAATCTCGCCGTCAGACGGGTGAGGAATGGTGGAGAGAGAGACGGTGGAGGTGAAAAGGTAACAAGAAGTTGATAAGGATTTGGGGAAATGATAAATATGTTGCGTATACATAAAGTAGGCGCAGGTTCAGACGGTTTGTGTGTTATGTTGAAAGAACTGAAAGAAAGTGAAATTATGAAGAGACAGAAATCAATAAATAAAACAAGGTTATATTTTACTCCATGATCGAAAGGTAGAAATATGAACTTACATTTTGCATAAAGAAAATAAAGCCTATTTTCATGACAGTGAACATTTTTTAATTGTTTTTTTAATTAAATTGAAAAAAATAGAAATTTGATTTTTTTAAGTCGATTCTGTTCTTTTGAACTTTCTATTCATCAAAGAACACAAAAAAAAAAATTCCGCAAAATATTAAGCACCAAAAAATGTTTTGAACATTGATAATAATAGAAAGAACTAGTGCTGGGCGGTATGATAAAAAAATTATATCTCGGTATTTTTCAAAATTATACCGGTTTCACGGTACACAACGGTATTTTTTTTTTCATACATGACCGGGTGTTAACCATATTTTCTACTGATTGAGAGAGGAAATACTGCAGTATATTGACTTAGAATGCCCTATTTTACTGTCATGATGAGTGAATATTGTCAAAAAATACCACTCTAAATAGCGACTAAACACGACCCCTTTTAATACATGCTAACCATTTATAATCGCGGCATCGTCTGATAAAATCAACATGCATCTACACTAAAGAGCGGCTATGCGGTTGTTTTGGCTATATTACTTTTTTGTCTCATGCAGCGCACTGCCTGCGTCTGAGTAACAAACTAAAAAAAAAAAAAAAAGTGCATGTAATATTATCAGACGAACTACGCTCATATTTATTATTCCAAACAATCATTAAGCGACAGGTGCTAGGAAACGCTGTTTTGTACTCATTTATTGAAGAGTCGGCTGCGGTGCGGCCAACTGAATGCGCTGCTTCTCTGCCGCTCACTACACAGAACAGACGCCGAGAGAGGCGACTGTTCCGAACATTGTTTAAGCGGCATACACCGGTATTTTAAAAATTCATATCATAACAAAAATAAACACCGGTATTCGGTATGAACCGGTATTCCGACCAGCACTAGAAAGAACCATTATTAATTTCTGAGCACCAGTACTAATCTAGCAGCAAACCAGCATATTTTAATTATATATACTGTATATATATGGTCTATTATAGTAAGATATATATTTTATTTGCTTAGAGTGCTTAATAATCATTCAAATCACAATGCAAATAAACGTATTGATTCCGAAAACAGGCTTTATGCAAGATACAATTTATTTGTTTGTATTTTTATTTTATTTTATTTATTTATTTAGTTAATTTTTTGGGTTAGAATATGACCTGGTCATGATTTCATGATTAACACTCATGAAGTTGCTGGAAATTGTTTAGAAAGTCTATTAAAATGTTATATTTGCACATGTACAAGTTCCAAATTGTAATAAAAATAGCTAGTATTCAACTTTGGGGTGCCAAATATGAGGGTCTATTTTTTGCAATCTCTATAGTCTAAAGCTTCTGTATTTCTGTACACTTTACTAATTTGAAAATGGTGCAAAACATTTCAGTTCTGCTTAGGATATCTATTTGAAATTACGCACAGCACTTTCTGCAGTGCATTTTCTGTGTCCATGGAGAGAAGACAATTTATCTCTAAATTGACCTCTTTAGATTTGCATATATTTTTGCATTCTTTATAAGGTTATACTGTATCCTGGGGATTCTTTCCACATTTCAACCTTTTATTATTATTATTATTATTTTTACTTCTTCCTGTGCAGCACCTGGAGTGCTGTGTGGGAGGAAGATGAACAAAACACACATTTGTAAATCTCATGTCTTGTTTATAATAGAAGTGTATGTCCTTCTCTCTAAAAAGAAAATATTTTGAGTTGTCTTCTATGATTTGTACTGGACAATCCCTGATCATTAAATTAAGTTGGGCTGGTTCACAAAAAGGGCGTGCTAATTTATTGATTGACTTGCAATAAAGAAGTCTTGATTTCACAGTGTATGCCTTCAGGTTAATTCCTTCATTTTATTTGAATGAGTAAATAAAAAATTCTTTACTCGTGTGGTTTAAAACACGCATGCTGTTTTGTTGTGTTGAGAGTTTGCACTATAGTGCATTAAGGCTATTTTTATTGTTTAGCACAGAAGTACAGTGTACTGTTATATTTGAAAACACTTTTCATCGAGCATAACCTTACTCTTCTAAACATCATCGAGAGACTTTTGAAGTAAACGGTACTGACACGTAATCACATGAACTGCTGGTCATTTCAACTGCACTTCAGCTGTTATTGTGCTTTAACTGAAATCCCTTAGCATCACTCACAGTGAGAATTTCAAGGTGTAGTGTTTAAGCAAACCTGTAAGACTGTTGTAAATCAATAGATGTTGCTGTACAGTCGCCTTAGAGAGAAGTCTTAGATTGATGGAAGCTGGAACACTCTTTTTTACAACAGCAGCAGCTTCAAGACCTCAAAATACAGTCATCAGCGCCAGCAGGACGTTAAAGGGAGACGGGTCATATGTGAACTCTTGATTCATCTAGCTTGTGTTTCATCTTATTTGTATTGAGACTAAACGAGTAAAAAAAGAACATACATTAACATTCAGTAATTTCTTTAAAGAAATTAATATGTTTCGTCAGCAAGGGTGCATTAAGTTGATCAGAAGTGACAGTAAAGCATAATAATGTTGCAAAATATTCCTTTTTCTATAAATAGATGTTGTTCTTTTGAACTTTCTGTTCATCACATAATTCTGAAAAAAATATATTTTTATATATATATATATATATGTGACCTTGGACCACAAAACTAAGTCATTGGTGTATATTTGTAGCAATAGTCAAAAATACATGTTATGGGTCAAAATTATTGATTTTTCTTTTATGCCAAAAATCATTAGGATATTAAGTAAAGATCATGTTCCATGAAGATATTTTGTAAATTTCCTACCGCAAATATATAAAAACTTTAGATTTAATTTGTTTAAACTTTTTTGGTTTGTAATATGCATTGCTAAGGACTTCATTTGGAGAACTTTAAAGGCGATTTTCTCAATATTTTTGCACCCTCAGATTCCAGATTTTCAAATTGCTGTATCTCGGCCAAATATTGTCCTATCATAACAAACATACATACAGTGGGGCAAAAAAAGTATTTAGTCAGCCACCAATTGTGCAAGTTCTCCCACTTAAAAAGATGAGAGAGGCCTGTAATTTTCATCATAGGTATACCTCAACTATGAGAGACAAAATGAGAAGAAAAAAAATCCAGAAAATCACATTGTAGGATTTTTAAAGAATTTATTTGCAAATTATGGTGGAAAATAAGTATTTGGTCAATAACAAAATTTCATCTCAATACTTTGTTATATACCCTTTGTTGGCAATGACAGACGTCAAACGTTTTCTGTAAGTCTTCACAAGGTTTTCACACACTGTTGCTGGTAATTTGGACAAATTTTGAAAAATTGACACTTAAGACTGGTTTTGTGGTCCAGGGTCACATATTATTTCAGATTTTACAGCTGTCAAAAATTAGTGGGAAGTGTTAGAGGCCCCTGCTTTGAATGACTTCAGCACATCTGGGGCCACAGGACTTCACTAATTTCTCACACTGCGCTGGTGTGATATTGGTCCACTCTTTTCCATAGTTCGGTGACTGTAGTGGGTTTCTTAGCCATAACTTTGTCCCAAGGATTTTCCAGAGATTTTCAGTTGGGTTTAGATCAGGACTCTGGGCTGGTCATTTCATTATTTCAGTGTTCTTGGCTTCAAGGAACTGCTTTACACGTTTTGCAGTGTGACGAGGACATTGTCTTGCATGAAAATTGCAGGCTGATTGGGAGATGCTTGCAGGGAAGGAACCGCATGTTGCTGAAGGAGGTTCTGATCAACATATGCATTCAGCTGCCATGTATCTGTATAAGAGACCCAACTCCTGCTGCACAAAACATCCCCCAAACCATCACACTTCCTCCTCCACCTTTTACTGACTACTTTACGCACTCAGGCTTTAGTCTCTCCCCAGTTTGACAATGAACAAAATGTTTCCCATCAGACCCAAATAAATTAAACTTACTGTCATCACTAAAGTGAACTTTGGCCAGTTCTTCTCTCTCCACACAACATACTCCTCAGCAAAGGTGAGCTTAGCCTTTTGATTCTTTCTGCTGATGAGAGGCTTGGTAACTGCAGAGTGTGCTTTCAGTCCGACTTCTCTTAAACGCGCCGAGATCCATACCCTGTTCATCGGTGAACTGGCGAGCAATTCCAGCTGCAGTGTTGAACCGATTCCCCATTGAGAGTCTCTGCATTATCCTGTCCTCTCGTGCATTCATCTTACGTGGACGACCAGCCTTTTGGGGGGACTTGAATGAATTAGTGTCATTGTAAAGCTGAAATATTATTGAAATCACAGATTTGGAATGACCAGCTTTTCTTTCAGTAGCTGAAAGGGTCGGGTCGTCTCTTTGGCCTTCATCTGAACCGCCTCCTGTCGCAGGGTTTCAGTCACCTTAAAGTAGTTTGCCGTCTTGCAATCTCAGTGAAAATTAGAGGAATGCTGCCAGTTAAATAGGGTCTGTCATATAAGTTAGGAAATGAGAACCAGGTGCCAGGTTAACACCAATAATTGGAGGAATCTGTAAGTGTTCTTTAATTTTGATCAGAATTATTTTTCAAATATCTTTTTATACTGTCAGAATACAATTAATTTATGAAATACTGTATGCTTAAAAACTGCCCTTCTACTCCTGTTAGGATAACTTCAAATAGGACTAAGCAGTGATCTTGAATTTTAGGAAATTGTAGGTTGTTCTCTAATTTTGATATCCACTATAACTGTTTCCTTGAAAATGTTAAGCAGCACAACTGTTTTCAACATTGATAATAATCAGAAATGTTTCTTGAGCAGCAAATCAGCATATTAGAATGATTTCTGAAGAATCGTGTGACACTGAAGACTGGAGGAATGATGCTGAAAATTCAGTTTTGATCACAGGAATAAATTACACTTTGAAAATATAGTACACTAGAAAAAGTTATTTTATATTGTAATTATATTTCTCAGTTTTAGTATTTGTCCTGTAATTTTAAT